TATTATGATATATCGGTTATTATGATATATCGGTTATTATGATATATCGGTTATTATGATATCAGTTATTATGATATATCGTATATTATGATATATCGGTTATTATGATATATCGGTTATGATGATATTTTTCTCTGGCAAATAGAATATCATAATAAGCGGGTTCCACTGTATAGTCTTGTAGACATATTATATCTTCTGCAACAAAAATACACATAAAATCCTGTTTTCTGTTGTACTACACACAACAAGATAAATGTCACGTGAAGACTTACATCTGTGAGATGAGACAGAACCACGTCCTCTCGCACCAGAAACCTGTGGCCATTATAGATGAAAAGGAACAGATCCGCCACTCCGCCAAGCATCCTGTAACACAATAATGTCAGACCATCATTTTACTTAATAGTGAAATACTTTATAAAACAGAGGTTTGGAGAAACAGACCCTTGGAAAAAAATTGGAAAAATTTGTCCAAATAAATACTTTTCTTTTACCCAGACGTATAGCTGCCTATACACTAGTTGGAAGGTGAATTCACTAAGTCTCAAACAGAAAAACTGCTTGTACCCCCTTGTCGCCTCTACCAAGGCCCTCCCCTGGACTCCCTCCTCTACCAAGGCCCTCCCCTGGACTCTCTCCTCTACCAAGGCCCTCCCCTGGACTCTCTCCTCTACCAAGGCCCTCCCCTGGACTCCCTCCTCTACCAAGGCCCTCCCCTGGACTCGCTCCTCTACCAAGGCCCTCCCCTGGACTCGCTCCTCTTCCAAGGCCCTCCCCTGGACTCGCTCCTCTAACAAGGTTCTCCCCTGGACTCGCTCCTCTACCAAGGCCCTCCCCTGGACTCACTCCTCTACCAAGGCCCTCCCCTGGACTCGCTCCTCTACCAAGGCCCTCCCCTGGACTCACTCCTCTACCAAGGCCCTCCCCTGGACTCGCTCCTCTACCAAGGCCCTCCCCTGGACTCGCTCCTCTACCAAAGCCCTCCCCTGGACTTGCTCCTCTACCAAGGCCCTCCCCTGGACTCGCTCCTCCACCAAGGCCCTCCCCTGGACTCGCTCCTCAACCAAGGCCCTCCCCTGGACTCGCTCCTAAGTGAATCCACTCAAAATAAGGGCTAGCTAAGCCCCCGTTACCATTTTTTTTAATATGAACAAATTGTTTTTTACGTTCCCCTAGGGCCTAGGGCCTGTTCCTTTCTGCGGAACAACCGGTACGTCCATTTTTAAATGTGAAGTTTTCAAGTATAAAACCTTGCGGACCAGCAAAAGTTTATGCAGGCCTTGCAAGGCTTGGTTAAGGCTCGCCTGAAAGCAGCATCAGATTACTAGGTCCGACCTTATTTTATAAGTGAACAACTCTTGTCCAGCCGGTTCAACCGTTTGGACTGCGTTAATGAAAAACGGCCCTAGTCTCCTGCAGATGCCATTGTTATTGTGCAGCAATCGGGATGTGCTGAATCTTTAGGGAATTTCCAATCTCTATATTTAGAATTTGATAATTGGTGGATTTCAATTACTTGCCTTCAAAATTGTTCAGAATTACTTAATATATATCTCAACAGAAGGCGGTTATTCGCTTCAATATCAAAATTTCAACACCAAAAAAAATTGTGGTTACGCAAATTTTTATGGTAATTTGATTTGTGTTGAACAACTCATTTCTAACTCAATATTTTTTTTTTGCAACAGAATTTCACATGCTATATATCACTTATTTTTCGTCATTTCAAGGAAATTTCACTTCAATTATTTTTACAACTTAATAATTTAAACAAGAGATCCCAGAGGGATCTTGGCGCCCACCTTTGTACCATCTTCATTAGTTCTTTGTCAGTTCGATATTTTCTCTTCTTTCCTCTAATCTGTTTGATCGAGTCATGTTAACAGTAAATGCACCTTGAGGTAACTTTTGATCTAAACTTAATACTGATGTGTATGAAAGCCAACCTTCAAAGTGAGTTTGTCATTTCACATATTTACTAGTACAGTACTTAATGTGAAAGAAATAGAATCGATCATTGCAATATGAGAAAGATCTGTTTAGTTCTTCTTTTAATCCATTTTGTTTTTATGATCAGTCTCAAAATATAACATACACAACGAGGGATCAAGGGGAACCTACATTTAAAATTTGAGAAAGATCCCTCCCGTACTTCCCGAGAAATAGCGATAACAAACTTTCACTATCAAAATCCAAGATGGCTGCCTGTCGGCCATGTTGTTTATCCGATCAGTCTCTAAAATTGCCCTGCACAGCTAGGACCAAGGGGAACCTACATATAAAATTTAAGAAAGATCCCTCTAGTTCTTCCGGAGAAATAGCGGTAACAAACCCACACTATCAAAATCCAAGATGGCTACCTGTCGGCCATGTTGTTTATCCGATCAATCTCAAAAGTTGCCCTGCACAGCTAAGGACCAAGGGGAACCTACATATAAAATTTGAGAAAGATCCCTCTGGTACTTCCTGAGAAATAGCGATAACAAACTTTCACTATCAAAATCCAAGATGGCTGCCTGTCGGCCATGTTATTTATCCGATCAGTCTCAAAAGTTGCCCTGCACAGCTAAGGACCAAGGGGAACCTACATATAAAATTTGAGAAAGATCCCTCTGGTACTTCTTGAGAAATAGCGATAACAAGAATTGTTTACGACGGACGACGGACGACGGACGCAGGGTGATTTGAAAAGCCCACCATCAGATGATGGTGGGCTAAAAAGCAACTTATTTGAATTTCATTTTCCATGCACCTCATCTTCAGAGATGTTGCATGCATATTTTTGAAAGTCAAGACATTTTTTTTTCATTATTTTTCTTTGTTTTCCTAGGATGAACTAAATATATATACGGACCAGAGAATTTCTCGGATAAGAGGTGTTTCCGTGATAATCGTCTGTTTCCTTTTAGTATACAGCGGGTGTGTCCTCTCTTTGTACGACTCCCTGCAAATAAAAAAAATTGTTTAGTTTTGCAGTCTAGCAAAGTACCTTGTTTTAACTGAATTGTTTACATTAAAATTATATTGTCGATTTTAGAAAAAAATTGGTCCATGTGGATTTCTCATAAAAATATTCTCAACAATATTTTCACGTTCAGAATAGTACACTTAATGTATCTGTATTTGTAAAAATTTGTTTAATTTTACAGAAAACAACTTGAATAATGTTTTTAAAAATCAGTCAATATGGAGTATTAACAGTACAGGTCAAAGGTCAAAAGTCCTTCATGTAACGTCAGCTTCCCATTGAATTTTACTAAAGTTAATTTACTTTTTTTTTTCAAAATATGTTCGGGACTTTGTTTGACTTCGAATTTTAATAAAACTTGGTATGCTGTAACAGGATTATCCTGAGTTTCTTGTGGTAATGTTTATATAATTATCTGTGCCTCTGTTGTTCAGATAACACTTTTCATCCCAGCATAATATGAATTATACTTTGACATTATTCCAATAGACACAATGCAAATTTTGCCATAGAAAACTGTTTTTGCCAATTAACTTATCATGGTTAGAATTCTATGAAACCAGTAATTATATAAATATTACCAATAGAAGCACTGGGTAATTCTCTAGCTTATGCCTTTCGATGTTTTTTATTAAAAAATAAAGACAGGAAAATTAATTTTCGAAAAGTAAATTAATTAACATAGAATCTGATAGGAAAATGACGTAACATGAACAATTTTTGACCTCTGGCTGTCCTTGACACGACTGCCTGGAGAATAACAAGAATGAAGACAAATATGCATAAGTTTCATATTTTACATTGTAATCAAAACATGACCTACTACCTAGTGTCTTGGAAGGAAAACCCCTTTTTTCCTTTTATTTGTGTACCTACAGTTGCTTTGATTTAACTTACAAATAGGAATCAACCTATGAGTTTTTAATATATAAAAAAGTGGAGAAAAAAAACAAACAACTTTTGACATTGGTGGAATAAAGACCTGTTTCACTTAAATCAAAACATTATGAAATCTATAAACGAAAGATTTTTTTCCAAGAACTGACCAATCACGATTGAGGTTAGAAAAATGGCTGTCCGTGTCATCGGCACTCTGTCCACACCAGTACTGAACCACGACGTTCCTTGTCAGCCAATCAAATCCTGTCTCAACAGGAGGAGTGTTGTCCATGGCAACCAGCGTACTTTCATCAGGTTGGATGGTTGATAGACTAACATCCGGAAAAGGAGGTGGGGCAGTATCTTCCGAGGTGTTCGGGTTACCTCCCCTGGGAGAGTTCTCCTCATCCTCGTCATCATCTTCATCAATCCAGTCATCTTCAGACTAGAACATTTTACGAAATGGTGTCTGTGTATCAAATGATTGATTCCACTTTGCAATAGTTTCTTTACACATGATTTATTTGAATATTATTTTATGTTTTTGAACTTTGCGGGAACATTGAGAAAAAATAAAAACATCGGGCCAGGGATCATGAAACAATCTAAGACTAAAGATTCTGCTTAGCCAATCATGTATGACGTCACTTTTCATGACGTCATTTGTGACTGATTCAGTCAAAATTTAAAACAATTTCAGACTTTCATGTCTTAGGGCCGTCCCACTTTAACTCACAAATGTTAAACACCAAACGTCATTGAGATCCTGTACAAAGACTGAATGTGATTCATAATGACGCAACTTACAGACTACAAAATTTAACTTAAACTTGAAATCCATAAATATTGAATTTACAGTATTTAGAATAGCATGTTTATTTATACATTGTAGTTTGTGCAGTGATCTTATCAAGTTCAACAGTTCTTTGTTCATCATAAAATTTCCAAAGCCTATGCCTGTGTAAATGTACAGGTAATTTTTTCACTTTCATTTATTAGTAAAGTTGCAATTTTTGATGTTTTCACAATGACATGGGTTATACTTGGAAACAGATAGAAATTTGACTCATGAAGTTTAATTCATCAGTAATAATAATAATTCGAGGTTTTTATATACCGCTTTATCAAAACCTAGTTTGTAGGTCGCCTCAAAGGGGTTCACAAATTATAATCCATGGTTATAGGGCCTTTACAAACAGCACTCACAGCTAGCATTCTACAATTCTAGCACTGCCTAACCACATACTCATTTACAGCTGAGTAGACTTGAACAAGCTGAGTAAAGTATCCTACTCAAAGATACAACACAGTGCCGTGCCGTGACTCAAACCTGCAACCTTTCGGTCACGAGTCCGGCATCCTACCACTAGACTTCCGTGCCCCCTGGACTAACATGCCTCCATAACAGAATTAATGTAATATACAGGGTTTTTGCTAGGTGTTTATAGGGTCCGGTACAGGAACCCATTCCCAATTAAAAAAATACCCTGAATTTTCCCAATTTCAGTCTTTATTTTCCCAATTGGATTAAAAAGCATGTTTATATACAGTCATTATATGTGCAACATTCCAATTTTTAATACCATGAAGGAGCATTCAAAGTACATAGATAACGAACATTTGAAACTTAATAAACAAAAAAACTTAAAAATCATGTATTTTTTTTAATGCTTTACGTTTTACTGTAAGAAACAGCTAGAGGAAAACTTTTGCTAATCATATTTAAGCCCCCCCCCCCAAACTATGATATTTTCCCAAACATGTACGTGTGGAAAACATTGATGATATTTCCCAATTTTTGCCAAATACCAATGATATTTTTCCAATTCCTGCTCTGGGGCCCTTTCCCAAAGCTGGCAAAACCCCTGATATATAAGTAGTGTGATTCAAGGAAAACATATGGAATTTGTTACAAGTTCGACACATTAAGAAATCGGAAACTTTGAAGTTTGATTCATGGAAGTTTGACTGTACATATGTATAAACCCATGGTTTACAACATAAGATCAAGTCGCAGGATTTTTTAAAAGTTGATAAAATTATTGCTTTACAATTTACTTTATACTGGGCGACGTTGAATATAAAATAATGAATCCCTGATCTAAAACTTCAACTTAAAACATAATTATCCCTTCAAACCCCTTTTAATGTCTCAAAGAGCTCAATCTGATCATTCGAACAAATCTGAATTATTTAATTGAAATGATTTATAAAAATACAATATAAAATGAATAAATGATATACTTAATGATAAAAATTCCTGTCGGTCTTTCACCTCTATATCTCATTATTATAAACATTTACACAGATGCATACCAAGTGCAACAAAATTTATCAAAATACTGTTTAAACACGCTGGAGAAGGAAGAAACATTGTCAGAAGGACGGTCTAACAGCAGGTTATCCATTTAATTAGATAAAGAAATATTAATCCGAAATTTTCTCACCTCTATATCGGATATATATAGACGAGATTGTTCCTCTTCACCCTCCAGGAGATAGGCTGTCCAATCAAATGTGTCTTTTGGTGCTGTAAACGAAGAAAATATGCAGCGATACATCACTCTCAGGTCAAGGAATGAATTTTTAAGACATCACAATTACATGACAACACATATTTAACTTTAAAGAAAGATATATATTCTCCCACACTTCACGTGTCCTTTCAATTTTGCGAGGAAAAAAAAAATATGTCTTTACTTACCTAGGAAAAGACAACTTACACCAACTTTAATTCTGAAACCATCGCCAATATGTCATTACTTTATGCACGGTAACCAAGGTCACCTCTTTATGTGATCGTGTTTCTTATGTGCTCGTTATGTTGTAACTTATTTTCATGCTTTATGGAGAAAATTAACCCTTTCACCACTGTAGACCATAATGGACTCCTCCCCATAAATGCATAGTAGAGTCTACTAATTTTACCTAGGGGAGAAAGGGTTAATCACTCCTGTGCAATACAGACAGAGAAACCCGAACCCTCGGGATACGATTTTTGAAATTTAAAGCTCAGCAAAGACTCGTGATAAACTTCAAAATTCTAACTCTTCGTTTGAAATTTCTGTTGACATCACACGGAATGACACAGGTCTTATTATTCCAGACTTCATTTATTTGACAATGAAACACAGATACGACAATTAAATAATTAGTTGGATCATAAGTCATTGTGTGCTACCTATACACTGTGGTAGACAGAACGGGCTGAAGAACCACTACAGCATCGTTGAAGGAAGGCTATTTTGAAACCATCTTTTCAATATGTACACGCTGAATTGGACTTAACATTTCATAAGAAATAACCTGACCAAAATCGACATGCCATTCGGATGGAATGTGTCCCGCTTTGACCATCAATGCACATGTCAAGTTTGGTTGGTGTAGCATTTACAGCTGCAGAGAAACTAACTTGAATGCAAAATCTTAATGTTGACGCTGCTGCCAGAAAAGCAACACCTTAGCCAAAAACTATTCCTTATAATTACGATATTTTTCTGTGAATGGTACATAACAATTTTATTCATTAGTCTGATCATGATCAGCGGACACAAATTTCATTTTCAAAACTTATCAATGTGTGATCTGTTCGATGAAAGTAACAACTTGAAATTTGCATGAGTCTTGATTGATGTTGTCCACAGCTACAATTGTGTCTTATTTGCGGAGATTTGCATAGCTCCGCCCACATGTATTGTTGTCCGACGTCATGGAAACTTGTCTTGTTCTATAGTCGGGTTATGGGAAGACAACTCCAATTGGTGGGAACAATGGTTATCGAGCGAATGTCAGAGAAGACCGTTAATACTTCAGACTATTAACAGTCTACTAGGAAGCTTATGCCAAGTTCAATATTCGCCCTTCACCAGTGATACCTGCCCCACATTGATTTTGTCATTCTCATTATATTATTAGATTATGGTATTCTGTGTACTATTATTCACTGTCATAATATATTCACCCTTTCTAAGGAGGGCAGGTTTTTTTAGGTTGAAATGAGGCGAAAATGTCTCTATACATGTATATTGAAGTATTTTCAGACAAAATACAAAATTTAAGAAAAGGATTATCAAAGTTTTACTTTTTACACAAACAATGTACATATTAAATGTGTCACAACATTTCTACACCAACTGGTCTCTTTGTCAAGCTATGACTGAGCGAACAATTTGAATAGTTTACTTGTACAACCAAGTGACAAAATTGTACTTTTCATATCTCACTCTTTCAACTTTTTTAAAGTTTGAAAATTAAGTTACGAGAGTTGATAAACCACTGTCACTCATTATGGAACCTCTATTTATGCTTATTTCCTACACCATACCTTCCACCTTCGGCAGCCTCGGCTGTTCCACATATTCATGGAGTAAGGGTGAGTTTGATAGATTTAATAACAGAGAAAGCAGTGCATAGTGGGTGTCACTCTGAAAAAAAAAAAAAAAGAAAAAATATGAAACTTGGGGAAAATCTATGCCAAGACACTAAATTAAAGAGGTGCTGGATTTCAATTAACTATATTAAACTCATATATAAGATGAAAAACAAATATTAAATGACTTAATAACTTAATTGTAATCCACACACATACAACTTGACAATATTTATGCAGAGCCAATGACAATCCACATTTCTTTATGATTGAACAAGTCAGATGGAATTTCAATAGAAGATAACTATTAGTTTTATTGCTATAATTTTTATGTAGACTCTCATATTTAGTTGTCTTTACATCATAGGTGTTTTTGTTTATTCAGCTCGACCATTTCAACTGGTCGAACCTGAAAAGACGCAACAGGCAGTTGTAGATTGAACCCAAAATCTTGTCTGGTATACATGTATAAGGAAGGGAGGATCCATTCCACTAGACCGACAGCTGGGGCTTGTGGGTTTTATGTTGGGGGCTAGTAAATGTTTTCAATATATACCATGGTAATATAGGTCGGGGTAGTAGAAGTTTTCAAAATCAACCTGTGAGCCAGTATTCTATAGGTAAAGTTGTACACCCCTGGATACCCAATATGTTGTTCTGCATTACTAGAGAACAGTACCCAAAGAGTTCCACATTCTGACCTCCTCAAAAGTCATCAAAATATAAATACCTTCCCCGTGTCGCGACCTTCAAACACAGGAGCCGCAAGGAATTCATCGCTTAACTTCCGTAAAGCATTTGCCTTCTTGTCTTGTGAATGAATCAAAAATTTGTTGATTGTCCTGTAAATAAACAAAATTTGGTGAATTGATCAAAGACATGTCATTTTTACAGCCTGTACCGTAACCAAAGACGATAAAATACATATGTCAATAACAATAACGTGGAGTGGGAGATCTAACGTCTGTGCGAAGAGTTCAGTGGAGTTCGATGATGCCCAGCAGACGGATTCCACAAGGAATACAAGAGTCCGGCCGTAGCAGTAGAGTTATCAATAGGTAAAGATGACCATGACAACGTCGTGCTCGGTTGAACGGCTTTAATCAAGAATACGTTAAGGTCATAGGAGTGTATTGATAAACGGAAATAAGAAGTACATCCCTAGTTGAAAATCCAATGCAGGGAGACAGTATCACAATTTCCGCATATTCAAATGTTTAATATTAAACTGATGAATATTGTATGTTTAGGCATTAATTCAGTTGTTTTTTATCAATGAGTCAAATGTGTCCATTTTTCTGTACTTCAGGAAACTGGCTACCTATTTCACTACTGTGAAGTTTTTCAAAAAGACAACTTTTCCATTCAATTACTATGTGTATATGGTTTTATTATAAAGCGTCAATTTTTAATCGTTTATAGATAATTTATTTTACACAATTTCAGCATTTATTAAATTGATATACATTAATGCAATACTAATCTATGGCAGTATCATTTTTATCGACATTATTTTGCAAAAAATCGTGTCTTTCTTTTTTTTCTTCAAAAATCACTCCTTTTTACATAAACCATTTAAAATCCTTAAAATTTTGACAACGGTCAGAACCTATATTTTTATTGTGGCTGTTTTTTTTTTTACTTCAAAGCAATATAACTACAAAATTTAATAAATTCTGCTGAGAAATGGTGACACAATCCTATTACCTTAACTAGTTACGACCTATTCCGTCTTTGCATATTGCAGAGTTATCTTCTCTTGGTACCAGGTATTGATTGTTACGTCATTGGTTTGTGTGAGAAAATTACGTCGTTTTCTCAAAAAATGATGACGTTCCTCTCACAAACAAGTGACGTAACAATCAATACCTGCTCCCAAGAGAAGATAACTCTGCAATATGCAAAGACGGAATAAGATGTGCCATCATCAGAACAAATTTCAAATATAAACATGCAGGTAACCCAAATTTAATATGTCCAAACTAGTCCACATGTTCTCGATTAAAGCCGTTCAACCCACTACAACAGTGTCATGGCCATCTTTACCTATTGATATGTCAATAATGTTCCTAGAAAAAAAAGAAAAGAGAAATCCAACACTCCTTAGGTAGAAAATATGATAGTGTTCTCGGGTGGATCCCCGGCAGGGGGGTCACTAGTGATCCAGGTTACTATAGAAACATAAAAAAAAAAAAAGATTTTCAACCACATAGGAGGGCAGTGAGAACGTGTTCCCATAGACCGCAGTAGCTGTGACAGCCTGTCCGCATCTAAGGAGCTGTCAGACCTTAGAGCTTGACCTGGAGGGGCAGGACTTTCGAATCTCTGAGGGCCCGGTAAGCTGGCGCTTATCCCCTCAAGTTGACCGAACACAGACTTTGTCAGTGAAGTGTAGACTATAACCCATTCAAACAACCAAGGATTTTCAACACCACAAAACACACTTTGTTGTTTGCTTGACCTCTATATGTTTGGAATGCTATGCAGCAATCATCAGGACCATAGTATATGGCATACGTGCCATTTCTTTTTCAATTTCCATGGGCGAGATTGTGCATGCTCAGAATTAAAGCATAAATAAAATGTGATTATGTATACCCTAGGGAAAAAATCACTTCCAATAGCATCATTTGAGCTGTTGTTTTCAATGAGATCATCAGATCTTAGAAAATGGAAATAGTTTTGCAAATTCATTGGTTGAAAATGCTCAATTTTAGGGTCCAATATTAGGAGTTTCCCTCCAAAATAGGGAGAGTAAGCAAGTATGATATTGTTGAATTAATACATATAGTTTAAATGAGTGAAATCGTATGATAACTCCAAAAGAATCTACTAGAAGGATTTTTCTTGAGGTTCAAGAACTAAAATTCCTAAATCAATATTCATCCACAACAATAAGTATATTCAAAAAGATGAACATTGCGAATTTACAAAACATTAATTTACTAATTCCATTTTTCAAAATTAGAAGAACATTTTGCAGAGGGAGAGTTCTTCCTAATCATACTAATCTGATAACTGAAACTGGAGTAATTTTCCAGCCTAAAACATATGAACATATTAAACACATCACATTTGCTGGGTATTATTTAAGTGTCAGTTGATGTAACGGGAGAAGTAATGAAGGATTAGACCTGGACCCTTTGTGGTGGGTGTTCATGATCATTTGTACTTGATGTGGAGGGATCCTCTGAACTCAAGGTGGAGGGGTACTTGTTTGAGGTTTAAGGGTCCTTAGTAGTTGAGGTTGAGAGGTCCTCAGTACTAGAGTGGAAGGGTCCTCAATACTCGAGCCGAAGGGTCCTCAGTACTTGAGGTAGAGGGGTCCTTTATGTTTGAGGTTGAAGGGTCCTCAGTACTAGAATGGAAGGGTCCTCAGTACTAGAGTGGAAGGGTCCTCAGTACTTGAGGTTGAGGGGTTCTTTATGTTTGAGGTTGAAGGGTCCTTAGTACTTGACGTAGAAGTGATCCTCTATACTTGAGGTGGTAAAAATCCTCTGTACTTGAGGTAGAGGGGTCCTTAATACTTGAGGTGTAGGGGTCCTCTTTACTTGAGGTGGAAGGGACCCTATGTTCCTTAGGAGGGAGCCTGTGTACTTTAAGTGAAGTGACTGTCTGCATGTGCCAGCATTTACCAGAGACAATTTTTACTTGAGGTGGACACTATATCAAATCGCAAATGAACCTGCTAAGTCTGCAACATGACGATTAGGACATGTACAGTATGTACATCCCGCACAGTCATTCACATAATATATATATATTTATACAAACCCTTTCAAAACAGCTGTAATTTTGTGGCTGTCAACGTCGAGAAATCTATGGTACTTTACATTGGACGTGGCAAACTGAAGACACAGGTTGAAATTGTCCTCTCTTTCCTGAAACAAAAATGGTTCAGATAGAAATTATTAATCAGTTAGGAGGGTCCCAGGTTCAAACCCTGGCCTGGCCATTGCATTTCTCTTTCTCCTGTTATATTGAAAATGTTTTAATTTGCTGAAGTTGGTAGAACTGTAACTGGATCGATAGCAAATAACTGATTAAACTGGTCAGCAGATTTGTCTTTCAATACACACAGGCTAGTTGAGCAAAGATATGATATTGAGAATTCCATTAGTAAGATGATTACACCATTGTTCCCGTCACTTTACTCCAACAATGTTAAGAGGTTTTACACGGCAAGATATTTTTGACAGGTGCCGTGTAACGCAGTCAGCAAAATCATATGTGATAGAAAAAAGGCCAACAAGCGGCCTCTTATGTTATAGGAGTACTCTTCAATAATTATTGAAAATAAGAAATAAGAAAATAAGTTTTTTTTTTCTAAAAGAGAGGAGAACGAGTCAGACTGTAATACTAATACTCCCCAAACATCAGTAATAGTATTGACATAGTTTTGACTGCATTGTCAGATCCTCAAACTGTCATTATCAAAATGTGATTATAAACACTGTGTACAAAAAAATATATAACATCAATACTCCAGTACATGTTCAAACACTGCTGAGATAGGCGACTGGTGGCAATGTTGTCAGTGACACGGCAATCGGGACACTTTGTAAATGTAAAAGATTTGAAGCCGTGTATGTTGTCGTTGAAAAAAATGCATCCTTTCCACACAGACAACATTCCAAAATTTACCCTAAATCCTGTTAATTTGTTGATGAGATCTTTTAAGTCATGTTCAGTGCTCTTCCATCGCGCCATTGAAAGACAGTTGAGGGGTCCGTAGTTGAGAGGTCTGTATTGTGAAAAGGTAAAATCCCGATGAACATCGAAATATTTTGTCCAAAGTCATTGCGGCGTTTGAACTTGTGGCCGTGGAAACTGGTAGAATAAAGCATTCCTCTGATCTTAATTCTCATTAAGAACGAGAGAAAAATAAACAGCAAAACTTTGGCGCCTGTTAACCTACTATTATTTTCGAAAATGTTACTTTAATAAGTGTTTTATTGGTTCAAAGAAGACAATATCAGGTAAAATGTTTTGATGTTTCCAGGGTTTATTTTGTATCATTGATTTGCTGTCGGTAATTTGTTGATTGTGAAAGAATCAAGCGACATTCTTTGGCCAATATTGATCGACGAGTTTCTAAACAAATACCAAATTAGCCCCCAAAGCCTCAGATCCTTCGCAACAAACGAAAACATTTTGAGATGGATACCAGGTTTCTTCGGCGGTCATGTTTGTGCGTTTCCACGGATTAATTCGTTGACGTTTCTAATGGATAATTTTATAAAACACTTGCGCTTGTCAGAGGCTGAAATATCAGATAAAAAGTATACCTTGCACAAATGTTTTTTTTTTAATGAGAAAAGAAAATCTTACAAGAGGCATGGCTAACACACGATATCTGTTATTATGACATTGACACACAACACGATTATAAGTGGGGAGAGAGCTCGAGGTAGTCGAAAAAACTTACCATTTCCTCTTTAAAATTATACTCTTATTATAATTAGGTGCACATGGAGATCCTCCTTAAGATGTCTTTGCAAAAATGCATACAAGGATTGGTTTTCCTTTCACATAATGTGTTTTGCATACCGGAACATGTCAACATAACATTCGATACATTTATAGAAAGATTATTTATTTATCTCTGCCACTGCATCGACGATAATGAAATGTGTAAATGTGTACTGTTCGAAGAAAATTGTTTGTTATACTTCTTCCAAGTATAAGATACGAAATGTTATGGTTTTCAGCCACCAAGAATATATCCAGACTAGGTTTGTGAATTATGGATATACCTCACATGAAGTCCATATTTGTTTATGCAGGGCAAACCTTTCAAATTACCCAGCCAGCAATGCAAACTGTAGACCAGCAGTTGTTATTCTTAAAGGGGTTAATTGATACCAAGACCTTTAGAAGAATACATCTACTTTTTTTCCAACATATTATTTGACCCAGGCCCTGTGACCTTGAGATTGGATAAAGGTCATTCATTTTAACAAACTTTGCTGTATAGATTACACTCTAGCAAGCTTCAGGCTAATTTGTTTACCAGTGCTCGCAATGCATACTATATTTTGTATACATTTGACACTTGAATTCAGTAATGAATCAATTATATTGATTATGGAATTTGCAATCAGTAATTTGAGTTGGTAAGGCCATAAATTTTCAATGATAATCGATCATTTTCACATCAAAAGTATAACAAACATTATGTTGACTGCTCATTATTTAAAAGTTAATGTTGTGTTTCAGGATGGCGTGTGGAGGAGAGTGCTACTATTGTATGAAGCCGCCTGAGAGAGGGATGGATCTAGATTCAGCCCTTCATGAACTAGGCATGCTTAGTTCTGGCACAAATAGCCGCAAAGAATACATAAAAGAGCGAAAGAGATCAACAAGCGAGTCATCGTCTTCACGACCTTTCAATGAGCCAATGTCAAGAGCCTTTAATGAACCGGTCCCATTTAATGAACCAGCATCCAACTTCCAGGGAAAGGGGTTTCACATTCTTCAGGTAGATCCAAAGTATGTGACTGGATTTTCCGCTGATTTTCCAGTAGTTATGAATGTGCCAAAATTTGACATTGATGCTTCAATGGATGCTTCAAAAATTCCCTCCACATCTGAAACAAGCCCAATACTAGATCCTCGAACAAGGGATTGTTTCTGTGTTCAGGGTTCCTGCCATCACTCCGATGCCACACCAAAGCAGACGATACCTAAACGTTCCATGTTGAGGAAAGGCCGGTATAAGAGATACCTGAAACCCTATGAAGTCCCATGGAGACTTCACAATTCACCTCCAGAGGTTGAAATGCACCATCAGGAACATTCCTTATCCAAGTCTAATGAGTCCTCTCCTGTCAAGGCTTTGAGTGGTGAAGGTGGTCCTTTAACTAGGTCAAGGTCGTTAAATAACCTTGAATCGGCTCGGGCAAGGTTAGCAGACATCTTTGAGGAACCCCATCCTCACCATTCCGCCGATAGACAAGAAATTGAAAAGGTCTCTCAACAGATAGAAAATTTACATTTTGTTGAAAAGACATAACATTTAAATATTTTCTAGTCTAGTTAATTAAGTTATTAATAATAAGAAAAGAGACAATTCCACTACTTCTAAAATGGTTGTATTCCCATGTATATGACTGCTATAGTTAACTGTTGCTTATAGTAATATTATTTAACACTTCTTGTAAAATGCTATTATTTATTTGTAAATTAGCTATAGTAGTGTCCATTTAGTTTACCTCCACTTGTAGGATGTCTGACAATGCAAGCACAACAATAATTACTGTGCATTATAATTTAATGTTTCACTGTCTTACGATATTTATTTAAATAAATATGGTAAGGTAGTAAAATATAAAATTATAATGAAGGACAGGGGAACTTCGACAATAGTTCTGTTACCGAATAGGTGGTAATGAATTCCATAAGACTTCACTATTATTTCTCTGCCGTAAAACCTGTTCATATTGAATTCCATGAAACCAAATTAGAAGAAAATGTCACTGTCAGTAAACATATCTGTAAAGTTATTATTTTTGTGCAGTAAGTAATATTTATAATGAATCCCATCAGACTTAAAATATAGGTTCTGGTAAATAATGTTTATGGTGGCCTCCAGGGAACCTGAGAAATTAGTTCTCTCCAGTAAACCCTAAAATCATAATGAAACCCATGGGACCTGAGAAATGAGTTTTCTACAGTAAAACATATTTTAAAATCATTCACCCCTAAAATTTCATAATGAACTATTCCAACCTTTGAATTGGAAGAGTTCAAATGTGTCTTCAGGAGTGAATGAGTTAATAATGGATTCCAGAAATTTTCTTTGAACACAAAAACATCCATTATAAATGTATTGCAATACAATATGTTTGTTTAATGTGGTATTCTAGTTGTTTGATATGTATTGTGACAGCCCCTGCCCATAGTTGAGTAGAATATTTGATATCGTAAACAAGTCTGGAATCAGATGTATACAGTAGTGGTCAGTTCATGGTAGTGGTCACTATATCAAGTTTATTTCTTTGGCTTTATTTTTGTCTTAATAAATTTTCTTTGTATATGTCACTTTTTCTGTAGCCAAGACGATGTTACAAACACAGCACATACCGTAGGTATCCCATAGAAATGTCTGTTAAGTAAAAATAAAAATTTACCTCAAACTTAAAAGGTGTTATAATTACATATTTTGAGGTAAATCAAGACATTTTAGTTATCCAACTTACTGCTTCATAACAGAATTAACTCACAAATTATCAATCGTCATCTGTCATCACTTAAATCCTAATCTGTCATCACAAGTTGAATATTCTGTTTCTCCCATAAATTAAAATTTAAATAACGACAGTGTTTGTTATGCTAGGTGATGTATTCTGGTGTAAACCTTGAACTAGGACTTAAATAGATAACATACTAAGTAAGCATGGTAGGGAGAGCTAATATCCATGATATTATTTAAAATTTTAGGTTTGGGAGATGTCTCTTACCCTGGACAGGTGTATCCGCACTTTTACCGATGTGAGATTTCCTTGTCTCACCCTAGGTCTCACCCTAGGGTTGAGACAGGGGATTCCCCTATTCGTAACAATGGTATGACGTCACTTCAACAATACAATGACGTCACGTCAACAATCCATCAACGTCACGTCAACCCTGAATTTAGTATGTAACGTTATCATTACATTGTGTTTATGATACACATTGAGAGAACAGGGTAAGAGAAAAAGAATCATTCACCCCCTTGTGAGTAAGAAAGGGGAATCTCAACCCTCGGGGAAAGATTCTTAAGTTGCCAAACACTCGGCTTTCCCCTCGGGTTGAGATTCCCCTATCTTAACCACAAGAAGGTGAATGATTCTTTTTCTCTTACCCTGTTCTCTCAATGTGTATCATAAACACAATGTAAAATGGAAATCAGAAGTCCTCCCAGAAGTGGCTTAAGCCTTTGACCTCTAAGTAACTTTAGTAGACTCTACCAAACATTTATCTGGGTGAGTTCATTATGGTCTACAGTGGTGAAGGGTTAAAGTCTATTAGTAGCAATTTCTATTTATTTACCTGTCCCAAATGTAAGTAAACTTCATTTATCTGTTGTTTATGTAATTATTATTTATTTACATGTCCAATTGTTGTATTTTGTCTTATGTATTTATTTTATATCACAAGTGTATGAAATATTCTAACTTATTTAAAAATAAGATGATTTATAAAGAAGATGAAATAATTTTAAAAACTAATTTACCTGGAACACATCCAAAGTGCTAATTCATGTTTTTCATTCAGGTACAAATAAGTTCATCTTCGATACTCCAGGGGACAGGGGTTAATTATAAGGTCATTTACGCTTTCTCCACTCCTTGACTATGTCATAGAAAAATCAAAAGGCTCTGTGCAAGTGCACAACCTTGTGGATGAGACAAGACGCCTTGTTTGATTCTTTGATGTTAATCAAAAGAATCTCACAGCCACATAACAGTAAACTTTAAATTTACATGCTTTGAAGTCGGGTGTTGCTCTTCTGTAACCTTCAAAGGACAGGTTATGATCATCTTAGCGATTGGTCAGGTTTCTTTACCCAAGACAATTGAAAGAGTTAGCCATGTGCCTTCAGTGTGGCTATGACATATTCCAGGGGTGCAGAGAGCGAAAGTCGGTGTAACCCATGGAGATTCGAGGATGAAATAAGTTGTATTACATTGTATTAGAGAGCTTGTTACCATAACCATCTGAATGGTATTCTCCTTAATTTAAAAAAACCCACACCTTTTTCAGTCAGATTGAAATGTCACAGAAATTTGTCATCTTGTTACCTCCCTTGTTATATTACCAAATACCAACTCGGGGAATTTCCCTTTGGCTCATTCTGAAGAGCAAAGGAATTGGCCAGAGTTGCAGAAATATTAGACATTCAGAAATACATGTGATAGATTTTTAACAACAAAGATATATATATATATATATTATACATGGAAATAAATTAAATAGTGTCTGTCGATACAAGGAAAATAAATTAAATAAACTAGAACTAGAAGACAGAGTTGCTATCACATTTGCCTGTTTATGGGGTCTTCTGCAGGCAACTTAATGGCGAAAGGAATAGCACCTCTACTCTTTTAGTTTGTTTGCTTTTAAATATACATTAATTTAAAAGGAAATTCAAGAAGTACAGTGCACCAAACATGCTTGCTGTTTTAATTTTCTCTTCAGCGAGTTCATACATAACAGTTTTGACAGATGATTCCCTGCACACCTGGCCTGTGTTTGTAAACTGATAAAATATTGCACGATATTCATTTGTGTGTGCTTTACACTCGTTAAAAAGACATTTATTTATTGCCGTGTTGTTTAAATTATTTTGTTTTCGCATTTGACCTTTATGTTTACTATTTGTATATCTTGACCTCTGTGTGTATACTTATATACTTGGATCAATCAGAAAGAGTCATATTTTGATCAGAAAATAAAAGATTTTTGTAAATCCTGGAAATGTCGTCGTTAATTTTGTGGTGCTACTGATATAAAGTACTGTATATTGTTTACACTCCAATTTCAAATAAGGATCCTCGTACCACTGTCCAAAACTTTAGTACTGTATATTGTTTACACTCCAATTTCAAATAAGGATCCCCGTACCACTGTCGAAAACTTTTAGTATTAAAAACTGTTTTGTTCCGCACGACTTTTGCTTTGATAAATCATTTCTGAAAAGAAAATTGTACCTTGTGGGTCTTTTTTGAAAATAACATGAAAATGTAGTGAAACTGGACTGGGTCTATCGTCGGTGACCAGATAGCACAATTGGTTGAGCGTCCGTCTCAAGTTCGAAAGGTCCCGGGTTCGAACCCCGGTCTGGCCGTGCATTTTTCCTCTCCTGTTACATTTGGTGCCCAACGAAATATACCCACAGAAGGTGGTATAGGGTCTCGTGGGTCTCCGGGGTCGAAGACTTTGTTAAAGGAGGGAGGAATGTAGAGGAACTGGTCTGGGTCGATCATCGGTGACCAGATTGCTAAAATGGTTGAGGGTTCCTCTAGAGTTCGGAAGGTCTCGGGTTCGAACCCCGGCCTGGCCGTGTATTTTTCCTCTTCTGTTCCAAAATATTCAAAACAACAACAGTGTGCGAAATTTAAAATTTAGCGGGAACAAGACCAGGATTCGAACACTGGACTTCATATTGTTATTCTATCTCTCTAACCGTTACTGAAATGAATAATTGTACACACTTAATGCAAGCTACTCTATTGTCAACTTCAGAGGTCATGGGGTCAAAGGTCAAAGATCACGAATGAATACTGTTACTGCAATGGCTAATTATTTTGGAAATGGTAGATATTTTGTATACACATACATTACAGTATCGTAGCCAATTATGCAGGCTACATTGTGACAAACTCCCAAGGTCATGAATGAATAGCATTACTGAAATCTCTAAAAGCGGTAGGTATTTTGTATACACATATATGTTGGAATATTGTAGGTATTAATGCAAGCTACTCTACTGTCAACTTCCAAGGTCAAAGGTCACGGATGCATTATCGGTATGTCACTGAAATGGCTGATTATCGCAGAATTGAAAGGTACTTCATATACACAATGACATATACCTTGAAGTAAACGCAGCATTGATGCAAGCTACATTGTGACAAAATTCAGAGGTCATTGGGTCAAAGGTCACAGTAGAGGTGTTTGTCTTTTCCATTGGGTGTTGGTATGACATCTGAGGTTAGACTTTCGTGACCCTTGACCTTTTAGCCCCTACAGGGGCAACAAGCAGCCAGAATGTTTAGTGGATTAGTTAGTCCATAGGCGACAGTTCTAGTATTGACATGGAAGTCAATGGGATGTTAATCACTGTGGAGGAAAAACAACAGTGTAGTGGGCAGGGTTCTTTAAACAAGACGACCATTGACCATTTCACTTTTTACTCTAGGACTAGTGCACAGTTGGTTGGCACATCGCAAGTGTCTATTTCATTGTCGTTGTTGTTTACAGTGTACACAACATTTAATAAAGATTATTATTGTCATGACGTCATTCATTCAACTTAGTGTCATATTGTGGAATTAACAACTTTGTAAGTTATTTCTTGTTAAAGTGAAAAGATATTTCTGTACTTCAGTGTGTTCAAATTAATGTGCTGGGTTAGTCTATTATGGTCTACAGTGGTGAAAGGGTTAACATGCAATTTTAAGCTAAAGAAGAAGCCAATTAATCTTATTGTTATTACAACATATTCAAAGATTATATCAACATCTTTCAAAAATTATGTTGACATAGGTAACACGTATGTCATAAGTCTATGGCAGAAATATGCCATCATAATGGTCATAACATATACAGTGTCCTCCCCAGAAATCTTTTGATGCGCTATGGTAACTTCACCAGCCCATGAGCCCCAAATCGCAGCACAGCATAGCCGTCCATTTCAGTGACACGATCCGTGGATCGCGCGCTACGCAGTTATAAAAAATAATATAAGATTGATTGTTTTTATTAAATAAATAACATTAATGAAGTACACATAACATTGCACACTCAATTACATTCCCTTTTCTGATTCTTAAACATTTAATTATATAATATTGACATACATATTTTCCGGCAAATTTGAGTACAGCAATCCTTCAAAAAGTTCAACAACCTAATTCCAGAAACTTTCAAGACACCTGATATGCAAACAGCGCTACGTATTATTAACTCATTCACCCCTGAAGTCACATTTGAACTCTTCTAATTGAAAGGTTGGAATAGTTCATTATAAAATTTCAGTGGTGAATGAGTTAAGAGTCACATTAAAACATTCAACTATATATATATAATACCCAATAGAATTATACAATTGGATAATTTTGTATGTGAGTATCTCTTGGGATAGGGGGAATATCTCATACAGAAAGTAGGTCTCTTGCCCAACTATTAGAACAGTTTTCTTTGCATTCCTTCCCTAGGGACACAAATTTTACTTTGCTATACAAATAAATAAATAATAAAAAATAGTTTGGATTCAGTTTGTTTTACTGCATAGCTATATAACTACAATTAACTTAGTGGAAATTAAAAGTATGTTCCCCCGTGAACTCTACAAAATTTTCCATTTTTCTGACTTATATGGTGAGACACATAGCAATAGAAAATATACTGTGCTTACGATAAAATTAAGATGGCATGTTGCATGTACTGGAAATGTCTTTTTAGGAAGACAATCAGCATGCACTTGATTATTCATTATGCACGCACCTGTTCGATGATCTTTAGTTTAACCCAGTCGTGATATATTAGTTACATATCACAGGTGCTGGACACACTTGAATATAATAGTTCAGTATATGGCATATAGTTCACATCACATAATTTGCTATAAAATGCATTAGAGTAATTTTGAAAATTATAAAGGGCACTACACGAAATGTTGTATATCATTTGCATATAATACAGTGTGTCCAACACCTGTGTTACGTATATGTAGAATGAGCAACATGAACGATATTTTGTTGATATTTGTGACATATTTTCTAAAAACAAC